AGTCTGTCTGGTAGTAAGCCACCCAGCTAGCTAAGCAGCCAGTCAGTCAGTCTGTCTGGTAGTAAGCCACCCAGCTAGCTAAGCAGCCAGTCAGTCAGTCTGTCTGGTAGTAAGCCACCCAGCTAGCTAAGCAGCCAGTTAGTCAGTCTGTCTGGTAGCAAGCCACCCAGCTAGCTAAGCAGCCAGTTAGTCAGTCTGTCTGGTAGTAAGCCACCCAGCTAGCTAAACAGCCAGCAACTCAAACAGTCAGTCACTCTGCCTCTCTGTCTATCTGTTGGTAAGTAAGTTACCTAGCCAGCCAAATGGTTTGTCAATCTGTCAGTCTGTCTGTTAGTAAGCCACCCACCCAGCCAAACAGTCAGCTAGTCAGTCTGTCTGTGTGTCTGTAGTCAGCTAGACGGCTGGACAGTTGGTCAACTCAGGTGAGCAGTTAGCTGTACAGCTTGTTGGTCAGTTAGCAAAGTTTCCAAGGACAGATTCATTCAGTGAGACAATCAGTCAGCCAGTCAATTGGATCTAGAGTCTCAACTTGTCACTGATTCAGTAAGTGTCTCAGTCAGTCGCGCGAGTGCTAGTTAGTTGACTCATCAATGGCTCATCAATTCTATCAGTCAGTGAGTTGGGCAGTCAGACAGACAGACAGACAGACAGACAGTACAGACAGACAGGATTCCTCACCCTTGGGAAGTTAGGCCTTGGTTGTACTGGTGTAATGGTTATTTTTGGCATAGTCTCCTGTGCGTAAGCAGTTGCCACTTTCCTCCGGGCATTCTCGGCCTCCTCTTCCAGATACTTATACGGCACCTCCCCACGGCCACCTTCATGCTTTTCTTTCTTCCTCCTTGAGATTGTCCAGAAAGTAGCCAAGTACACGCCCAGCGCCAAGAGGCAGAGAAGTAAAACGGTAATGATAATCTCTAGAGCGTTCATAGCCTATAGAAATAAAGAAGAAGTTGTTCAATAAACGCTGTATGTTAGAAAGTGAATGTATCTATCTTCTAAGTGTTTCCAGTTTAGTAGAAATTCACTTTTGGCCAGTGGTTTTCGATTTCCCTAAGCCAGTTTGGCTAGTAAACAAACTGAAATTATTGTAATATCTAAGTTATCACTAGCCACTTGGCTAATAAGTTAAAAGGTTAGTGTCGAGTCCTGGTTTTGTGGGTGGCTTCATGGGACTACTGTTTCTACCAGCGCCAGACCTCCCCCTACATCATAAACCCTTTGAACCCTAAGAAAGACTAGCATCTTATTTTTCCTTACAATATCACCCTTGAATTAAACATTAAGGTAACGAGAATAAAGGAAATGATCACCGACTAAAAAGGCTCTTCATTGCAAATTCTCCTTGCTGGCACCTCAGGAAATATTTGGAGAACAGTATGGAGAATATGTACATTGATGTTAGGAAATGAGAGGGGTCAAATGGGATTTACAACACAAAACTTAGCTATTTCACGCCGTTGCTGTGCAGAGCTTGGGTAGAAAAATGAATTCATCAATAATTTTCATTTGCAGCGGTGCAGTCATGAAAATCCAAGCTAAGGGCCCTCTGGTTGTAGAAAAAAGATGTTATAACTGATTGTGATGGACTGACCGCATGAATGAAAATTTGAATTCAACTTGTTGAATCAGTGTTTGCAACGAATTGAGAGGTACACTTAAAATATTGATGCAATCTATACACAAGGCCACAGGATGCATATTAACAAGTTTTTAAGCTCATTTTTAAATGGTATAGAGTAATCTTTCATTTTGAGAAATTTTGGACAGCACAATTCTTAAAAAATGCTATAGCACTTTTCATTACACGCTTGAGAAGTCATCCAACGCTTCAAAGCTTCAGCATTGAGTAGTTCAAATGCATAAATTTCTTATGGTTTGCTATTTGGAAAGTTATTAGAAAAGTATAATCTATAGACAGTTAATATTACAGCAAAAAATTCTAAGAATAATGCGTTTTCACGACAATGTTTTGACGCAACAGAGATTAACTCGCAGTGTGTGTTCTCCAGCAGACACTGTGCTAGTGGCGCGGAGAAACAAAAATTGTAAACAAAATCAGACAAAATATAAAATAGAAGATTTTTACCCGCGTAGCTAGTCATCTCAGTGTTATCTTTTGATTCCTTGAAAATGGGGGTAAAGCCGGTGTATTCAAGGGTATTTCAGCGTACGCCATTCTACAGTATTCTACGTGTCTTAAAACCCATGGTGTAACAAGAGAAAAAGCGTAATGACCCCTCTTATCTTTATCTGTTTATAGACGCTGGTTTTAATTTTTTGTGGGCATGGAAACATCAACGCAATTGTGTGTATGTAAGGAACATATCGAATTTCTAAATACTACTCGTCCGTGATGTCACATATCCCCTCAGCATGAAAATGCACTTAAAATCCGCTTCCTAAAATTGTTTGAAGATGCTGTAAGCAAAAGAGAAACCCTTCCGTTTGTCGCCCTTGAAGTGGAACTTGGCGTAATTTGAAACACATGGACAGTCAAGCGTGCTAAGATAACAGAAGTTTTTCATAAAATTACGGAAGAAAAGGCTAGAAAAAGAAATATTAGATTACCAAAATTAAGAAAAAAAAATTTTAAAAATAGCCCAACTTGGTTGGCCATCCGAAGAATTTGCTTTCAGTGAAAATATGGAGTTCGCAGAGTTGAACGCTCATGCCAACAGAAGGTAGAAAGGATATTGAATTTATCGTTACAACATGGCTAATAGTAAAATGCGTATTAGATAAACAATCATAAAGGAAATTTAAATGCCCTCTTGAAATTTTTGAAGCATACTGAAAGCAAACTGAGGGGTTAAAACTCACGCATTTGCGAATTATAGACAGTAAAAATGCATATGATAGTAACAAATTAACGCGAAAATTCCTAACAGGCTAGTTAGGAATATGCGGCCCGTGTCAGTATGTCTTCAGTGTTGATTACTATTTCTCCTAAATGACTGCCTGGCTGTTTATCTAAATGCCTTCCTCGCAGTCATTTTAAAGACACGCAAAACTATAACGTCCGAAAACTTTAAACAACGGTCTATTCGCTTCACTGAATTTTCTAGCGTGGCGTGTTTAACCTCTAAACAAGGGTATTGTAAATTAAGCTTTTCATCACAAGTCGTTGTGTATACCTTTTACGGGCCAGTTCTCATGATAGCGTAAACGACGCCTTGCGTTTTGCATAAGGAACAAAGCAAATCGTCTAACGTAACATCCACAAACACACTTACCAGTTCAAAACAAGCGAACCCCAAAACAGCTCATTTCGAAAACTAGGTAAAGCCATATCCTCGACGTTTGCAACCTCGTGTTTACCTTCTCCTTCGATCAATGATGATCAAACGTGGATGAAACACCAAGAAGTGAAGTAAAATTTCATCTAGGACCACTAACTTTAGCTCCAAGTTCAATACAAAGAGATGCTGTTCCAATCTGCGCTACATTTTATATCATACAGCGAACGCGACTGAATTCGCGGACTAATTCTCGCGCGTGGGACATGGTCATGTACTCATACTGCTCTCCAAAGGATCAAATAACATTTTACATACCGTGATCAGTCCAACCCATATTGATTTCAATCCAGAGGTGTGAAAGAGTCATTAGAAGGGATTTTACTACACCCAAACTGACACAGATTCCATGCATTTTCGCAGCCGCCATATTCGCTGTATTACCGGTGTAGTTAGTAGCTAACGACCTCAAATCAGTTTCCCTTGCAACGTTGACTATTTTTTCAAATTCATCTAGTTGTTGATATATCTTTGTCTAGTCTATTCAAATATTTATTTGATTATATATGTATATTTATATATTTATCTATTTACTTTCTCATTTCCGGCCTTTGAAACAAACAGCTACATTTAATTCGTTACAAATTTGATGGTTTTCTCCAGTACTCGTGTTTGTAGTTTTCATAACGAGCTGTACGAAAAAAACCGAAATATATCAGTAGCACGTTATGAAAGTTATCACCCAGTATAATTTATGCGTTATCAGGAATAACAGCTTATGGTTGGGTTTTCTGTACAATCTGAGGTATTTCAACCCTTCCAAAGGCCATTTAGTAACCTCTGGATGTTTGTGCAAAGCTTAAGACCAATTTTAAAAACTTATTTCCGAGAAATTGAGCGAAAATCTATTTCGTGGTCAGAACTGGTCCGAGGGCGTGAACCTCCTCAGAAAGCAAAAATCTATTTTATATTTAGAACTTGTTCAAGGGCCTCAACCTCCTCAAAAAAAAATGAAATACTCTTGCTTTTCAGTTTTCATAACGAGCTGTTCGAAAGAAACCGAAATACATCAGTAGTTATGAAAGTTATTACCCAGCATGATTTATACGTTATCAGGAATAACTGGGCTCCGTGTTTTCTCTTCAATCGGTGTGTATTTCAACCCTTCCAGTCAGACGTACAAAGGCCATTTAGTAACCTCTGAGTGTTTGTACAAAGCCTCTGACAAATTTTAAAAACTTTTTTCTGAGAAATTAAGCAAAAATCTATTTTATGTTTAGAACTGGTCCAAGGGCTTAAACTTCCTCTGAAAAATGAAATATCATTAGGAAGGTTTACAAACAGAATTCCAACAAATTTAAGATGATTTGAAGAAAAACGAAAACAAAGTTAACCAAATCAAGTGTCTCTGTCCTCTACCAGCAATGAAAATTATAATACTTAAAGTTTGTTTCAGAAAACGCATGTTTAGTTTTTTTCTTTTTTTTTTTTCAACCAGAACCTAAATGAGCAAAATTATATTGCGCGATAAGTAACATTTTACAACTTCAAGTTGATTATGACGATTAATATTGTGCGATCTTGTCGTTAAAGAATTTTGGTTTCAGGCGGCAAGAAGTGGAAATACCCCATGATAGGTCTGATAAGATAAAGATGGGTCGAAAGCATCTTGGACTTTTCAGCCATTGAAAGGGCTGCTTTTAGACGAGAAGACCACAGGAATTATTAAGCGGGTGCAGGGGAGGGGGGGGGGTTGGATGGGTGGGTAAGTTTGAGACGAAGACGCCAATCTTAGCAAATGCAACTTTAATTATTTTTCTCCCGAGGATATTAACACTGACGATGTTTGTGACATCCTTTAAAAATTCACATTCTTTTGAGGGAATTTCCGATTTTTAACAGTCCTATGTTCGAAATTTCTCCAGTTTGTTTCGCGCTTTCCTGCTTGGTAAGGTAACTCATGTAACTCATCGCTTTTTTGTCTACTGACGTCTGAACTCCATAATTAAATGCTGATCTTCACAAATATTCTAGCAATATGAACTTTTCAGGATATCTCGATCACCACCACATTTGACAACATCTTCTTAATATTTTGATATCGCATAATAGTTTGACGACATCAATTTGAAACAGATGTTAAATATCATTAACCACGGTCTGAAAAAGATAAAAACTTTGGAATTAAATTTCCTTGTGGCATCCGCTATATGCTCCCAGTGGTATGTAAATTTGGTCCTTGATAAGGCTGTTTCGTCTGTTTTTTTCGGTACATGATTGTAAGCAATTGGTTTCCAACCCTTCTTGAAAAATACCGGAGATTAGTAAATATTGCATTTGCTAAGCCTCGGAAGGCGTAACGCGAACATCGGGGGAAAAGACGTCAATGCGTGTTTGAACAGTAACCTAATTAAAACATTTGCTCAAAAAACGTGGAAACATTTTGAAGAGATTTTCACAAAAGAGTGAAGAACTGCGTGGTTAAAATGACAACAAATGGCGTTTCGGATATGACATGTCCGTAACTGAGAAGCATTGGATAAAGTCCTAAGGAAAATCTCCTTGCTGGCCTGCCGGACGGTAAAAATATATATACTGATATGCGGACTCCATTATCGTCAGCAAAAATTGCTGACCTCTCCCAGGGAGAAGTGTTTTTGAACGCAAATGCAAATCATGATTTGTGACTATAAATTGCTGATTACGTTTTCTCCAAAAAAGACAGATGTTTACTTCCCGCAAGAACAAAAAAAAAAAGAAAAGATCTCAGCGCAAACCAACAAGTGGTTTTCCCTTTTTTTGTAATCTCTCTTCTGTTAGTTGTCTTTTACCTATGTGTTACATTACTATTTACTAAAAGAAGCCACTGAAAGTTGATACTGAGTGATCTTCTTGCAGTTATGGGAGATTTTACTGAAGACTGAAAAGATTTGAGTCCTATCCGAAACTCGCCATATCTACACCACACATATCAATATTTCATCATCTTTCATTTCTTATTAATTTCGTCGCTGAGGCGTACAGCTTGAAAGAATTTTTGAGTTTCAAATGAGGAGTAAATGTGCTGTTGCGCTCATAGCTTCCATTGGTTAAACCAATGTGTTTCTAGGATCTCAGCCTGCAATTTAGCGCCGAAACACGGCAAACAAAATGTAAATCAGTATCGACAGTCAAAACGAATATCACTTATAGAAGCCGCTGGTTCTCTATAAGCAAACTGTAACGTCAACTGAATAAAAACTAAATAAAAATGAAACCGAAGAATTATTGAATAAAAAAACGAAATTTGACACTCCACTTAATTTCACACGCGAAGCTTTTACATAAAGGAAGTTCATTAGTCAATTTGTAAGATTTCCAAACCTCTTTAGCATTGATTATTTTCTTAAAATTATTTGCGGATTTTCAAGAATTCGTAGAAATTTCATGATGGGGGTCTAGAAACAAAAGAGAGGGAGGTGAAAGTTTCTTTTGAAGAAAATTCAAACTCGAAACAAAGAGACTATTGGAAATGGCGAGCGCGTCCCACGTTTTAACAATTCAATGGATGAATGGCCGAACAGCGAAGTTAATAACATTTTGCGCCGTGCTGTACAATATATTTAAGCCTATATTTTCACCTCAGAATATTTGCTACATCTCGGGAACTAAGACTGATTTATCTGTGACACACTTTCTGTATTTTGTTGGGATAAAAGGAAATTTAAAATGGAAAATTTTGGCTTGATCATGAACGTGGTTTTTTAACCGTAAACACTGTTTGCATTAGTTCGAATGATATACTTTGAAAAGAAAGAAATGTTCAATTGTTGTCAAGCTTTCGTTCGGTACGTAATTCATTGTTTGGTACACAATTTTTTCAGTACAAAAGAGAGAGAAAAAACAATAAAGCCTTACCTCTATGTTACGAGGTGCTTCTTGCCCATATTTCAAATCCTCGAATCGAGCTTGGCTTGACGTCTTTACAAAATGAGCGTCTAGTCTCCGGGAAGTTTTTAGCATCAGGTGTTTTGGTAGAACTGGAGTGTTGACTAAATCACCCACTCTCCGGAAAGGTCGATTCCGAATAGGAAATGACCTTACCGCAAATATTATAGCTCAAAATGCGGTTATAAAACGCCTGCAAATATGTTCTCCAGAGAACCGATCCGCACGCATTTTGCCCGTGAAGGTTGAAATAAAATTTAAAACTGTTTCAATCGCGAGTCGTTAACGGTCAAAAACTTCAGCTGGACTATTTATGTTAAAGATAATATATTCTTTTGTCTTGTACTTGAGTATTGTTCGGTCTTGTTTGATTTTGCTCGATGTCAAAGGGATCTGAGGCGTGACCCGGTTTTTGTTTATACATCACCACGAGAGCTATTAGAGGATCAGCTGTAACATCGGTCGCTGGTGAGTCTTGAAGAAAAAAAGAAAAAAAACCATGAATGAAAACTGAGTAAAAAATTTCGTTTGACTTTTACCCGTCGCCAGTTTTTTTAAGAAATAATTTTTCGACCGCGCTCATACCTTTTTTACAGCTGAATTCGGATCAAGAAATAAGTTTTCGTACACTCATTGTGTAGATATCAAGACCCACTTATGACTTATTCATTCTTGATTGACGCGTAACAGATATTCAGGAGAAACTTAGACTGTAAATTTAGCGTCAATTTGCAGCTAAAGGCATTGTCTCCATTGGGAAAAGGTGTACTGAGAATTGTTGTGGCCTTACAAATTTAAAAACAAAAATGTGGGTTTCTTTTCAGAAATGATCCGTCCTTTATAATCTCGTTGAAAAGATAAGTGAGTCATTCTAAGATCAGAATTTTTCTAAGGGCAGTATTTAAAATCCTCTCATCTAATGTACTGAATTGTACATTTAATCCTTACGATGTAAGTATGACCATGGTTATGTTTACATTTGCGTTCCTGCCAGTAAAACCGCGAATTACCTGAAACATTAAATATCTCTTTTTTTTTTTATCTGCTTTGTTCAAAAAGCAACTGGTGGTCGACACGGAAACAAAACGGCGAGAACACACGCTTTTTTGAAAAAACATCTTGCGTGGCGCTCACGAGCGCGCGTTTTTATTTCTTTTGCTTTGCTTTAGATGAAATATTCAGGTTGTAAGGGTTTCGCACGAAGATTATCAGCTACATCTTTCAAACAATTTTCTACAACTTGGGAGGCAGTGCTCTCCTTGCTTTCGATCAAGGTGAGGCCCAAGGGCGAATTCCTCCCGAGTATGCGCTCACAGTCGGAGATACCCAAGGTGAAGGTACGGTGATAAACGAACACATACACACCTTCAAGGAAGCTGGCCGAGTTCGCAATAACAACAATCTTCATTTTATTTTATTCTTTATTCTCAAAATAAAAGTTACAGCTAGGCTGACCGACAGACAGAGAGCAAGTGCTAATCTAGGCGAACCAGTCTTCAAAATCTAAAAAAATGCGTTATTTAAAAATCCTAAATTACTGTACATTATTTTTCTCAGAAAAAAAAAATGTAAGTGATAAAATAAGAAATAGTAAGAACAGTCTACCATATTTGGACTACCGCTCCTACCAGCATAAATGTTTCTGCTGGTTAGGACACATACAGGCGAGCTATAGACATTTTTCGAATACTAGTGATGAGAATAAAGAAACACATTACTTTGGGGTTTTATTTATTGATCAAATACTACATTCTCTGAACTAAAATTATAAGAATTTTATGGTAAACAGTAAGGAGAACTAATAATTAGATCTCGGTGTGAGGGTCAAAAGTTCAATCCCCAAGGGAATTGAGATGACCTTTTGCCTCGTGATTTTAATACTTACTCCAGGAAGTCATCCGCTGTAAGTAATAAAGGATTATTTACTCCCTTGAAAGGAAAAAATTATTTCAACTCCCTTTGAAGGCGAAATTCGTTGCTTCGGTGACAGTCGCAGACGGGTCACAAACACTCGGATCATAAGGCGTGACTTACATGACACTTCTAAGTAAGGCTTCAAACATTCGTCACGCAAACGTCACGCATAAATTCTATCGCAAATTGCACAGTTTATTTCCACGTTAAAGTCTTCATACTTTCCAATGCTTTGTCGTACCTCAGTTTTTTTCCTTGAGCTGTCACGTACAGTTTCTCATCAATTTTCACGAGTCCCAGCTCACTAACAGCAACAGAAACGGGCCCTTTTTTCCCTTTAGGCTCGTATCCCTTATCAAATGTAATTTTAGTATCTGACAATGTGCCTTGGATATGTTTTGGCAGCGCAATCGAGGCTCCCCTAGCCATCTTTACTCCATTAGGGCCCACTTCCGTTATGGTCCCTTCAATGGGCCTTCGCAGGTAAACATGGAAACCACCTACCTCTTCAAGCCATACCCAGTTTTTCGTAATCGGTTTTGTAGGTAGAAGTTTGTCGAGAAGCTCGGCCCACTGTTCACCGAATTCGCCGACATTTTTCACATCGGCGAGTGCGCGTGATCGTTCACGGTCGGACTGCGCTCGGATTACTTCGGGATCTCGCGATTCAGGTTCGTAAAATGGCGGTTCTTCTGTATCAATATCTGGGTGAAGCTCAAATATGGGGACATTCAAGTGAGCCTGCGATATATCGACTCCGGTGGGAGTGTTAAACTTTCCAGTGAGGCTACCCTCCAAGACCGTCAGGCAGTGCAGCAAGCCAGGCCAGTCACATTTTTTGACGGCAGAACGCCACAGAGGAAGCTGAAGAATGAAGGAGAAGGAGAATGCAGAATAATGGATGTACTCTTCCAGCACGAGCAGCAGATTTGTGCCATTGCACTCCATGCTGTTGATATTCCATAGCTTCCAGTCCTCAGAATCTTGCCGCTCCACATATCGAGTGTCCTAGAGAAAAAACATGTTTTGGTTTTAACTTAGGATCAGTGGGAATTTTTTAACTGTTTTTCAATCTATTCTTCCTGACCTAGTTCACTGTTAATTTTGCACAGCACAAAAATCGACTGTCTTTAAATTCGACAAATATTTCGTATGCCGCACGGTCACTCTTAACGCGTCACGTGATCGAAAATGCCACCACTGAAACTAGAGATTATCAGGTGAATTCACCCAAATGATACTGTAAATTGCGACGGAAAAAAAAAACACAATCTTCTTTGAAAGTCGATTCAAGATGGGCGAGCGTTGTGCTGTTGTAAAAAGAAGAGAAGTACATCTTTGATAATTAAAGTTTACCGGAAAACACTGCGAGGCTAGGCATTCATTCCACTCAGAAAACGTTTTCAACGACAACACCTTTTCCCCGCTTGTTTCAAGAAATACATGATGGTTAATAAACAAAATATCTTCAGCTTGAAGTGATAATATACTTGTCTATTTGTCATTACACAAAACATATGTTTATTCTCAATTCCTCGAAGCTCACAGTTCACGTCGGGTGCATCAGAACAGATCATGTTCGCGGACAAATTTACGGGTTCATTTTTGCGGCGAATGGAGGCTATTTTTTTCGATATTGAATGTGACTTCTTTTAAAGCAAATCATTCTTACCATTTCTTCATCCGTGTAATAGGGTGGGGCATGCGTGCCTGATCCAATGAATTGCTTTCGTTCAGCTTCCAAGTTTAGTGCCGCATCTGTGAACGTAATAGTGACCGAGTCGTCCGAGGAAGACTGGCTCCCAGATGCAGACTCGTCTTTAGTCTCTGGGGGTAGTGCTAGGGGGGTTGGATCATCTCTCCCCTCGTCTATAGTCGCATCGTCTGTTATCCCTTCAGTATATGGAGGTGGAGGGACGGGAGGAACACCGTATGGTCCCATGATGTTGGGAAACAGATCATCATAAGTAGGGGGAGGGGGAAGGGAAGCTGAAATACTTGGTTCTGCTTCAGCTATCTGTCCTTCCTCTAGGGGAGGTGGAGGGAATGGAAGGGCTGGTACTTGGAGGTGTGCATAAACTGACGGGGAGACGGAGCGGTCAGCTTTCTGTGCTTCGTAAACGTTCTTCACCAGTCTTTTCCATTGGGCGCGGCCTTTCGTCCAAGAGTTTATCATATAGTTTTCCTGAACCAATTTTGTTTCCAACGACAGTAATTTTTGACGGAATGTTCTGCGCTGCTCTTCTACGGGAGTTCTCCTTCGATTTCTGAGGTAAATTGATGCAATGAGAGCGACGAGTATCACCAGAAGACAGCCACCGAGGAAAATAACAAGAGGTAGAAGAGAGTCGGGGTCGTTTCTTATTTTAGAAACAAGAGCTGCCACAGCTGCGAGGGCAGCACAAATAAAACTTACTGCGCGCCAGATGATCAACACCAAAGAATTTGACAGTTGAAACTTGAAAATCCTCCTGAATGTCAAAGTGAAAATAATCGCACCTAGATTCGCCACGAGTAGCAGGGACAACACGATCATATGATGTTCCGCAGCCAAAACGACCGCACCCACCATTAACGCTTTAACGAAATTAATGAATATGTTGTAGGCGGGAGAAAATTTCAAATCCTGGCCCGGGTGTTCTACATCGCCATATTTGGTCCCAAAAACGATTGCAGTGGACGAGTACCAAACCAATCCCAGGAGGCCTAGGAAGGCGATGGCCTTATGGCTTCCTTCCCAGCATTCCATGCTAGGTTCTTCGATAAGAACAACGGGTACGCAGTAATTTCCCCTCGAAATGTTCGCGATTACAGTCGCATTAAGCTCAGGGCAATCGTTGGTCTTGCAGGCTACAAAGGCAAGGAAACTCTCCACAATTGTTACAAACAGGGTGTTGGCTAAAAGAGACAAGAACAAAGTCCATCCCATGTGTCCTGCGCATGATCCCTTGGGTAGATGCTCTAGAACGCTCTCCAAGATTACGGGCGCGCCGCAGCAGAAAAACCACACTATGAATATAAAGAAAGTCAGCCACAGCTTCACATTAAAAGAAGCGAAGTTCAAAAGCAAATATTGAGAAGCAGTGCTAAGAGTGTCTGCGCCAGGCATCGGTAGATCACTTGTCACGAACACTAACGCTAACAGCTGTAATAACTCAACGATTTCAAATATGATCACGTGAATGTTTGTCCAGTTAAATCGTACGTAGTCGTAGGGCGTTGGTTCAATTAAAAGCGCGTCTGCTTGAACGTGCATTTGTCTGTTGGATGGATTTCTATGCTTGAGCAAAAGGACAACCATTATCACCAAAACCATCAACAAAATCACAGCGAATGCGCTGATTACGACTGTCAATGTGTCAGAGTCTATTCTCTGGCTGATGTAAAACGGTATGAGGAACGGAAAAGCCATGAAAATCACATACAAGACAGCCGTGACGAAATACGCGCAGTCCTTCGAAAACAAAAACTTCATGATGGTCAAAATTAAATCCGCAGGCATCAGGAGACCAAAGAGAAAAGCAGTGAAGACGAAGCGCACACTCTCCCAGCTAAGAAAAAAACGCATCAGCTGGACGAGGTCCTCTAAGATCATGGCTGGATATCTTTTGACCGTCTCACGAACAGCGCGCCAACTGTGTTTGAAAACAATGTCTCTTGTAATGTCGGTAATCAGGAAAGGCGCTCGATACAGGAACATCAAGACCAACACAATTCTACACATGGTCACGAGATCGCAAAAATATTCTTTACAAGAATTCAACACTGCGTTCCTCCGGTCATACCAACGCTGGCAGAGGTTCCTCAACAAGGCGGGCCCGCGGTAAATCAGAGCTAAATTCAACAGTATAAGCACCAAAAGGAAAAATTGTCCACTGGGAAGACATTCGATCAAAGTTTGCTGAGTCTCTCTGCGCGTGCGCGTCTTGAGCCCGCATTCCTCACTCCACAGCGGCACTTTAGGAATGGTGAACTTTTCAACGGCGCGATACTGCTCGGTCACGTGACTCTCATATCGCAACATCTCGTTTCTAAATTTTGCCAGGTTGTTATTGTGAGAGGAGAGATTGCGGCGGAGCAAAAAATTCATTTCACATTTGTACAAGCGCAGCAGCTTGTGTATCCGTTTTTTCTCCCACCATTTGACCATATCAATCAAATATCCGAATTCCTCATCGAGTTCGTATTTTCTCACTTTGTTTCGAATCCATTCCAATTCCTCCAAATAATCTCCATTGACAGTTCGAAGATTATTCCAGAGCTTTACCTCAGGTGAACGATTCTTTAAACAAGTAGAAAAGATACCTTCTAGTTCTCTCCGATTCTGGAAGCGCTTCTCTAGGATATCAGGTACCCACTGCATGTAGTGCTTCAGAATGCGATTTTTTTTATGTTCCTCGTCTTCCAGCAGATGGACCCAGCTTTGGATGGGCCTGAGGCAGAACAGAACCACAAACAATAGGACAAAGAAAATGTCCACAACCAACATGGCAGCCTCGTAGTAAACTGTCATTGCAAACTCCAGGAAGAAATTACCAGACTGGATAAGCTTGGACAGTAACTTAGGAAACCGCAAAATTGTAACAAATATGATAAGACAGAGAAATATGGCTGGTAAATCTATCAGCAAGAAAGCAATATTCTTACAAATGGACTTTCGAATTTTCCAGGATCGTTCCCTCTGGGGCCTCAAATAATACTTCTTGACATCACAAATTAAAGGGTATAATCTCCACAAGGTTACCATGACAACCAAACACAACAGAATACAGACAAAGTCGATAAGCAGCAATCCCATCTGACAGAAACAGTTTTTCCTGGTTTTCCATTGGTCACTTTCCCAGTTTCTGATAAAGTTGGGAACTCTCCATAAGGTAATGAACACAGTAAAGGCACATAAAATGCAGGGAATATCAACAAATATCAACAGAAATTGTTCACCGATGATTTTTCGCACCTCCCATTGTTTTTTCTCTGCATGGTAAAGCTTGTGCACCAAAAAAGGCAATCTCCATGTTATTATGGTTAAAACAAAAAGCAACAGGCAAAAAAAATCAACAAAAATAAATATAAATTCTGGAAAAACCTTAAATCTCCATAGATTCCATATTTTACCACTTATCCGGCACTCGTTCACATTTCTGACTAAAAATGGGGCTCGCCATGTCATCATAACCAGCATACCCATCAAAATGCAAGGAATATCGACCAAGAGTTGTAAAAATTGTTTAATACAAGTTTTTCTCCATCCAAAGTCTCTCCACTTGTAGTTCTTCTCTCGAAGTTTTTTGACAAAAATGCAACATCTCCATGAGAAGAAACAAATAATGGCCAAAGGAACACACAAGATGTCGCAGATGAGACGAAAGAAATTCTTTCCAATGATTGCATGGAGCTCAAATGCTTTCAGACCATATATTCCCCACTCTTTCCTTGTGAGATCTTTAAACTCAACATCTGCCTTGAATTCACGGACAAGTGGGATAAGAATTAATCCCCCAGTAAACAAGACCATAACCATGAACATGAGAATAAATGGTATGTCTACCAGAAAGAACAAAAAGTGGACAAAGCCCACATATCGCCATTCGGCCATTGAGTCCATGTGATAGAACTGCATCAACATAAAGGGTAGTCTCACAATGGTTAGACAAGCAAGGATGTTGAATATTAACCCAAACAAATCTGCAAAACGTTTGGCAATAAAGAGCACACAAACACCGAGGCTCCAACATACTTTCTGAACGATGAAAGCAATACAGTCCACGATTTCCGACATCTCAAGGAAGTAAATTCCACTGTCAGCTTTCAAATGGTTGTCAATATTTTTTAATGTAACTGAATATCATGGAGGCCCTGGTATGAAAAAAGAAAGATCACACATCAGTACAAAAGGAAATCTTAGAAATTGTAGTTGTGATTAGATGAAAGTTTATTAGCTGTGGTTGACAATGATTCTTAGAATATGAAGACCAATTTTAAGCTTTTCGTTTATGTTCACCTTTTTTATATCCAAAATACCACTGCACAATCAGAAATTATTGCATGGCGAGTTATTGTATATGGCAATGTTAACTTCAACTATAACTTCAAAAAATTTTAGCTCATTTGGTTAGAGCGCTGGACTGTTGTGCGGGAGGTTGAGGTTGATGGTTCAAGCCCCAGCCGGACCAACACTCGAGGTTTTAAAATAACCAAGGAGAATGCACTACCTTTCTATAATATCAAGAAATGGATAGACATTCTAGTCTTCTCGGATAAGGACGAATAAACCGTAGGTCCTGTCTCCTGCATCTATTAATTAGTTAATTTGGTTCTAAGGCAGGGGACGTTAACGAACTCACTCACGAGATTACTGTGATGTGGTCTGGCCTGTTTACTGGGAATTGGGGGGCCGGGGGGGGGGGGGCATCTTCAAATAAGTTTCCTTCGATTGTTTGTAAACTGCTGATGCAGTCCAGCCAAAGTCCCCCGAAAAGTGTTGTGATGAGCATTTGATCATATCCACATCTTAATTTGTGCAATATAAATATCAAATTATTATTATTATTAAGGGGTGTTGAAAAATCAAAATATTGGAGAGTTATAGTGTCACAAAGAATCTTATTTTCAAGATATATTGTAAGTTTTACCAAAGCTGGCTAATAATTATGTTTGAAGCAAAAAAAGCTTTGTAATGTTAGTGGTGTAAATGTGTTAATTTTTCTGCTTTATTACATAACAATGTAAGAATTAGAGTGTTTCTGGCAAGAAGCACCATTAGTAGTGTGAAGTACTGGAAAAAGCGTAACATCAAACACCAAACTCAAAGAATTAACCCTTAAACTCAAAGCAGTAATTAACGTGTAACTTCTCTCTGAAATATCCATACATTATCCAGCAAAGAGGTAATGAGAATACTCTTAACTTATCTGGTGGAAAATGTTATCTTCATCTAACACCAAATTCTCCTAAAATACTTACAAGGAAATGTGTAACAGCTAGAGATGAGAATTAACAACCAGATCTTGGGAGTTAAAGGGAAAAAGAACTTGGTTTCCGCGCCTTGCTGTGAAATTATCTTTGTTGGGGGTGTGGGACAAATTAACTGAAAGCTCACTTATTTCTATCTAACCACAGACTACGATCTTAAAACCTCTTAAGACGTTGCTCTGTTTCGTACTTCTTTCAAAGTATGAATAACTACGTGACTAATCAGAAGTGTCTACCACATCAAATTCTCAAGGACTATTCATGCATCGATCGAACCTTGCTTCAGTGCCAAACGAAAATCTTTGATTCAGTTCCTTCTTTCGAAATAAATCTTCAGCCGATTTGTAGCAAGATAGCAAGTGCTGTACCTCATAACATGTTCTAATCCTCATTCTTTTTTCCTTCGTGACATTTTTCTCGTTCTTTGTATGACACCTGCATCGACCTGCGACAAGCATCATGTTGATCAACAAAGGGTCTTCCAAGAGTTTCTGTTTAAATGTTACATATAAAATTACCTGAGTTCTCCCCTTTTTACCCAGCGATGCAGCACTGGCAAGTGTAAAGTAGAATTCTAACTCCAAAAACGACAGTCCAATGTAACAGTGATTGTGAAACAAACGGGAAAACTGGACACGGAAAATGGTAGTGGGCAGACGTACGTCAAGTCTTGATGGGACGCGCGTGTCGCTAGGTCATAACATGTTGTTAAATATGGTGCCGCTGACAAGTTATTTTTGCAGCTTTGGACGTTGTTAACTCGGGCAAAGCTGATCCCGGGCTTACAAGGGTCTCGGAGTCTCTCGAAGGGGCCCCGGAATCTTTCGAAGGGGCCTCGGAATCTCACAATTCTCGGAATTTACCGCTTGTTATCCCATAAGATGAGGGCCGCGGAGGATATATAAAACGACGCACACGCATCCAAAAGTCTTTACTGCCAATGAGGTGAAGGCTGTTTTCGCGCATGTCTCGCGCGTCAATCATAGCAGCCTGCGAGCAGATTTTCATTATCCCCGAAATCGCGCAGAATTCAAATAAAGCAGAATGAAAAATAAGGTTTCTCCTTGCTTCGAATGTAATATAAGGGAAAAGTGAAATTTTCCTCTAGAATCAAAAACGATAAAAGTTTCACAACTAAACATGACATGAGTAATAAATGACGAAACATGTTTTGGTGTTTCTTTGATAAGAATGATAAAAAATAAAAGGAAAGAAATCGGAATCGAAGAAAATTTCAGATACCAGCTGATCTTGCTTTGGTTTAAGTTTGCCCCATCATTTAAACAAAGAGGGTTTTTTAAGTGAAAATTTTAACCGGAAATACGCAAGCAAGGCACTTTTCCCAGCCGTTCCCAGCCCTCCCTACCGGAAATAGCGCCATTTTGTCGTAAATAGCTTTCGTCAGCTAATGAATTCGAAATGTGCTTGGGCAGCATACGTTGTATTATTGCTCAACAGTTTTGCATGCTCATACTTGAATAGTGGTGGAAAAGAAGAAATTTTTCAGACGTCAATATCCGCAGGTCATACCGGAAACGACATCTGTAACTCTCGAGAGAATCGACTGCCTCGCATTCGTGTTTATTCGCCATGTTGTTGTCACATGGATTGCCAGAGGGCTGTAATGGCTGCTCTTGACCCGAATGAAACGAAACAGTTTTAGAGCCGTGTTCGAGAGAACGTGGACCAAAATCTGCCAAATGGTTATGACCACGGACTTACCCTGCACTGGAAACATGGATCAAAACCAAACGAAAACTGATGCGCCCTTTTTGGGAAACAAGTTGGCGGCCGGTCCTGCCAGCTCACGAGCGGAACGCCAGTTTACCCGCGTTTTGCGATCGAAATCTTCGACGGCTGTGAAAAATAGCAACAGTAGTAGTGATACACAGAAAGAACAGCCTCAACCCAGCACTGATGTGCCCTTAAATAAGCCTCCAGAGCCAGAAATGGCTTGTGACGGCAGCAACCATAAAACGGACGCTTTTGGTCAAGTAACTCAGTTACGTCAGCTTTTGTTACTTCATTTGGAGCTTATTCAACAGCAACAAGAAGAATTGCAGAGGAAGGATCGAGAGATTAATCAACTAAAATTGGATAAGGAACAGGTACAAGCTCAGTTATGTTGTTATGTTTTTATAATTTTTAGTTTTATCGTCTCAATTATTTGCTCGCAAAAACACAGAATTGCATAAATTTTATTTTTGGAGAGGTCAGCGGCTTCCGTGCAGATTCAAACATGGCGCCCATAACAGGTCACGTGGAATAATTGATTCGTTGCGTTCGAAAGTTGGCACATGGCAAATGTTAATTATCTCTAAATTGATTTTTTTGTGTGAACAATTCGTTTCGTTTTCATGTTGTTTTGGGCTGAATGGCCCTCTCAGCAGTCCTAGTTAGGGAACATATGTAGAATTATCACTCCCTGCTCACTGAATCTTTTAAATTTCAATTTCAAACAATGCAAGTTTTCCATTAATTTTGCGTCCCTTCAACTCTGTAACTCTCAGGAGTGACGTAGACAGAATTTCACTATTCAGTATCAGTATAATATCAACCAGACAAGGAAAGAAAGGAAAATGTCAGCTAGGGGATTATTAGTTGATATAATACCAGAAACAAAATACCCATATAGGGTTCTGTCCTGGTGTACTGGTTCACAAGGGAATTACCATTGTTCTTTCTTTGTTTAGGAGTAATTGGTTAGCTGCTGTGTATTGTTTGGTCTTTTGTATCGGCTCTTGTGAACCAGTACACGAGGACAGAACCCCATATAGGTTAATTGCTTTCAATCATAAAAAGATTTACTCTTGACTGTTTTTCCTCAAATCCCATTAGTTTGTATGGCAGGGCATGTTTATAATGCATACTTTCCAAATTACACAGAAATAAGGTGCCAAGTGTTCTATACCAAGTATTAGTTTAAAATATGACACATGCACTCTGCTATATTCTCATACGAGACAGCTAATGTTTTATCAGGTCAAAGAGTTTTTCATTTTTTTAGGCTGATCATGAGTTAGGGTAGAAAATGACTTTTGGCAGAGGTTAGGAACTTAATGATTTGAGAACCTCGGTGGAAGTTGTAATCAGAGTACAGTCAACTCTGATGATGACTTCTGCTCAGAGTTTTCAAAACTTCAGTTGCTACTAATGACAACCAGTCATTCACAAGACTACCCTCACCTGATGATCCGACTATAATCAAATATTAGCCTGTGGTTGAAACCATTCGCTAGTTATTCATTTATTTTTGTGGTTTGATTATTACATTTGTTGTTAATGTTCTGTGTTATAGCTGGAGTCTCGCATGCATCGGTTGGAGAGAAGAATGGCAGTTAAGAAAAGGAGAGATGTCAATGAAGGTTATGAGGAAGCTCTGGAAGAAAAGGATGTGAAGCAAGTGACTCCTAAATGGTAATGTCTCTCAAAAATTAGTGTAGTGTTCTTGTAAATATAGGAATAAAGGAACAGCAGAGAATAAGTAAGTTCTCTAGAGATGGAATCAGTTCATGTGAAGGAGTACCAGAGTGAAGTCCTTAGTGCCTCTTGATACAACTTCAAATTCTCCTTGTGTTTTACGTGCAAATACAAGACAATTTGAAAGAAGAGTCTAGCTGAAGTCTATCAGAAGTCACAGGGGTAATGCTGATTTCTATCAAATGTTCAGGGTTTAGTCAGGTCTACATCAACATGCTGGTGAAGACATAAAATTTTAATCTTAATCATTTTTTTGAAGTGGCTTTTGTTTTGTTGTGTCTTTTAGCCGTCGTTTGTCAGTAGAACAAATGATGCGAGCCAAACGGGTCCCAGCCACTGCACCTGTGACCATGACTTCTCATATGTGCGAAGACCTTAGCTATGACACACACATAAGAACAGAAAAACTTTACCTGCATGGTTACTCAGCGGATCTTCCATACAAAGCTATTGAGAGTTCAGCCTCTGATAGAATTCAAAACCATGTACAAGGTAAACTGTAACAACTTGTTTTTGCACCCAGAACGAAAAATTTGATCCAGAATTCAATTACAGTCCAGGAACTTTCGATTAAGTCTGTTTACAGCACTTTATAATCTGAAAGCTCCTGCAGAGCAGGAAAAAGAAAAGGGGATCTTGTTTGGGACCTTTATTTTGCTCTGGGCTCTTATTTCACCTGTTCCCTGAATGATGTTATAAACATTTTACACCCTAACATCAGTATGCATATTCTCTATACTGTTCTCTATACATTTCCTAAGGTGCCGATAAGGAGAATTTGTTTAACAGTCAAAGAGTATTAAATCAATCTAGGATTACAGTGGTTTTGCTTTTCTATTCTCTGTCATTGGTCAAGGAACTTTGCACCACTATGATACCACCTTTTCAACTGATAAAGTGAAAAATTAAAGTTTATTACAATTTTATTACTTATGGTTTCTTCAAGTTCTTCCCTTTTTTTTTTTTGGACATAATATTGAATGGTAATTTTCAGAGAAGTACTTTTGAACACAAGGCCTGGCAGATCATTATCTATGTGATGTACCTTAGGGTCATTTTGGTGAAGAATGCTATCTTTGGTTTTCAGTTCCTACCTGGCAAATAAATGAAATTGCAGCAGTCAGAACAGGGAATTCAAAATCAGTAAAATCAGCAGGATCTTCATCATCAGCAGAGAACAATGAGGTATTTATTGCATGTGTATTAATATTTTTTTGGGCATGTTTAAGATTTACTATTTAATAGAGTATTTTATATTTTAGTGATATTTTCCTTTGTCTACTTTAATCCAAACCCCAATATGTTATTGTGTTTTCTTTGCCTTATATGCTTACTGAAGGTTCTAGATACAAAAAAATATATTTACCTGATATAATATTTGTCAATCACAATTTTTCATTTCTTGTCTGTTTTTCACCTTGGGGTTAGGGTCTTTAGCCTTCAGATTTTATATGAACCTCTAAAAATGATTGCAAGCAAGTGTTGTGGTCAGCAGTATAGTGTGTCATTCTATTTCTGGTGACCATTTCTTTTATGTAAATTTAATCTGTGGATTGCAGTGAATTTGATCACTGCAATTAGCATATAGAATTGTTGATATCTGGCTTGTCAGATATATTGGCAATTTTATATAACCATAATCTGTGAAAATTGTAATCGCTGCACCAGGTGCACCTGGTGATTTTCACTGATCCCAGCGATCAATGTATAAAACCGCCAGGTGTGCTGCTGGCTTTAGGTCACCAGATGGCGACTGTAAAGAAAGATGAGTGTGCAGCCGGAATTTAGTTTACCGGCCAGAGGTTTTTCTCCACATTTTCAATGTAAGCAATGTTCTCGGTAAGTTCACTTTTGTTAACCTTAGTCAATTATTGATCTATTTTTCTTCTTAGAGTACTGACGATGATGTATTTACAAAAAGGCATATGAAACATGAACTTGAGGAGAGGAGAAGGAAAAGGTGATGGCTAAATGCATTTGAAATGATCTTCTCCTTCTTGCTGGTATTTATATCAGTCAAAAAAAGTTTGGGGAGAAGGGGGAATTGAATGTAAGAAGATTTCGTGTGAACAGGGATTCTTTGTACTTGTAATTTTATCATTCAACAAAATCCTCAATTGGCAGTGTTAAATTTCAAATGCTAGCGCAAAGAGTTGATATTTTCCTTTACCACAACACAACATTAAAAATAATTCTTGATGTTAGAGAATTAAATTCTATTTGTCTGTTCATGATTTAAGATGGGATATTCAACACATGCGTGCAATGCAAGCACATCAAAATCTTGAAAAGAAAAATAGAGATCGAGAAGAAGCTCGACTGAAAGGGAAAAGATCTGGATGTAAAGATGAGGACTGCAAAAATATTGAATCGTTCCTTCCACCTGCTGAAGATGGTATGAGGCTGCCAATACCTGTCTTTGGATGTTTGTTGTAATCATATACAAATAAAAACAATCAATTGCCCCAGCATCCTTGTAGAAAATTATGAAACAATTCACTCTTTCACTCCCAAGATATCATTTGGTAATTCTTGTTACTGTCTGCCATTATATTTTCATGAGATTTGTTTGGAGAGTTTGGTATTGGATCAACCTACAATCCTCCCTTGATTAAGATTTTTCCTGTTTTCTTGCTATTGTGTTGATGTTGTAAGGAGAAGTTCTGTCTTGGTCACTCTTTGGAGTTTAAGAGCTCATGGAAGTAGAACATGGTTTGATATTAACCTGCATAGTTTTCTTGATGGGAGTATTTTCATGTGGGCTTGCCAACAGAAAAAAAAAAGCCTGAGATAAACCAGAATTATATCCAAGGCTGAGTCTAATCCAACATTTTCTCTCTAAAACCTTTTCAGTATTCATATTCTCCATACTGTTCTCTATACATTTTAAAAGGTGTTGAGAAGTAGAATTTGTTTAACAGTCAAAAGCTTCTTTACTTGGGGATTGTTTCCTTTATTTTCATGACCTTTCTGTTGATGCAGTTGTGATATTGTAAGGAGAAGTGAGATGCTGGTCACTCTAACAACTCTAGGGGTTAAGAATAATAGTTGTTTTATTCTGCAACCTCTAGTGATGGCAGTTGAAGTTTCTGACACAGTTCCCGTAGTAGCCTTTGGGTTTCCTGTTCCCTTATTTCAAGAAAGGTAGGTGACCTGTGTAATACTATCATTGGTAAAGCTGTATGATTTAGAGAATTTGTGCAGCACAAGCTGCTAGTGAAGTGATAAAAATGAGTAATTATGTAAGGCAGTATTGTGAAAAGTTTTACATTGAAGTGAAGAGGATGAATGAATTTTTTGTCTACAGGGAATTTGAGATCCCATGGTTTAGTCTTGATAAGAGAGAACTCCTCGAAAGGAAAGGCAAAGTTAGACCTGGGAGAAGTAGAGGGAAACCTCGTGGCAGACGAAAGGGATATTAGGTGTTAGGTATATATACTTGTTGCCGTACTCTTGTTAGAGGTGTTAAAAGCAAGTTCTGTTAGATAGGGAATTATGAAGTATAGACATTTATCATTTTTTACAAAACTGTAGAACTTCTTATGCGCTAACTGGTTAAGAGCCAATGTCAAATTCAGCAAATACACTTGATGATGCCACATGTCTGTTCAGTAACAGATCACAGATGACATCAGCATGTTATGAGAACAATTATAACATAACCAAAGTGAAGTGTACACTCTGATTGGTCAATTCAGCGACCACCATTTGCCCATGGGTGTATGCTGCTGACATGAGCAAATGTAAAGACTAGTTTTCCACGCCCACTTGTTTTTTCTGATCATGTTGGATTTGTTAAATTAAAGAAGGCTCTTTTGCTACAATGTATCAATGTTATGTTAGAAAACAAATGGTAAACACCACAGTGTACACTATTGAGTTATAGATGCACTTGGGATGTTTGCTAAGCACTAGAGAGGCTAGAGTTGCTCTTGGTTATTGCCTCGTGCAACTCATACACTTCTTTCATGCTTAGCAACCTCCCATGTGCATCCATAACTAAATGGTGTACACTTGTGGTGTTTACCATTTGTTCAAAAAAAGTGGCTTGTGAAGTGGAGCTGAGTGTGTCACTGAAGCCCTTACTACAGTTTGATGATCTCTTTGAGGTATTTCTTAACACTCAAGACAAGATGGATTTGATTTGTTGTGAATGACGAAAAAGCAAACTGTTGTTAATGGCGATGTCAACTATGTGTCTGTCTCCAATAGATCTTAAGAACCAATCAGAATGCATGTAAAATTCAGCTTATCACATTAAAGGTTTTTTGTAAAGAATGAGAAAGATGGTAAGTTTTGTGCTTAGTAAAGAAATATAATAGAAAGATGTTTTTGTCTAGTCACTAGCATGGGACAAAAGAAAAATTGAGTCCCCATGAGGAATTGAATCTCAGACCTTTGGATTTCCACACTCTGACCAGATGAAAAACATCTTTGTATATTTCTTTACCAAGGTCAAAACTTACCATCTTTCTTATTCTTTACAAAAAACATGACGCTTTCAACATTGCCAATCCTATCAGTATGAAGAATGCATGTCAGATATGAACTTTGTAATGGGCGTTGCTCATCAGTCTCTGTGGCTCGATGGTAGAGCACTGGAGTGCGAAAATCCGAATTCCTCATAGGGACTCAGAATTTTTTCTTTGTCCTATGCTCGTGACTGGACGAAAAACATCTTTCCACATAAAAAGTTATAGACAAATTTTCCATCTTTGAATCAAATTATGATTCTCTCTAGCTTGTACAAAAACAACCAGGGCAGAACTGTTTGCTTGTGTTACCAAATAGCAGACAAAATAAACTTATAATATTTTCCAATATGACTGCTTTCTAAATAATACAAAAGCTTTTCTTTTAATCTTGCAGAGATAATATTAAACGTGATGGTGGAATCCAGGCTTAACAATTCGTGCAGAAATGGTTTTACTTTTGTTTTCCAGTTTTGCTGGAGATAATCTGCTACTCACAAAGAACAAGCACAGAAATTGTAGTAGTATTTTAATTTTTATAAACGGATTTATGCCAACAGTCTCAAAGGATCTGTGACATTGAATCTAAATACTGTTTACTTGGGAAATGTTCAGGTTGAAGTTAAAGCATATCAGTAGGTAGGTTAATCTGCTTACGATGGTGAAAAATCCCAAGCTATTACAAGATACTTTGCCAGTTTTTTGTTTAATTGGACCTATTGCAGGTATTCTTGCAAAATAACTTTGTTCTCACAGCTTCTTCATCTAACATTAATTTTTGTAAGTTAAGTTTGTGTTGTAGCAAAACAAATACTTTGGATTGTCTCTTGAACCCTGAAAAACTCCTGGCATTCTACAGAATCATTATTTCTTAAAATATTTGTTTGGTTTAAAATGGGTTGAAATAAACAGCTAGGAAAACAGGAAAGATATTGTACAGGCTGAAACGGAGTGAAGTCTATTTTGTCCAGTTTTCACAACTTTCAAACAGCATAGGTAGTACATGTAGAAGTGTACTTAAGGTGAAATTTAAAATATTTCATTGTTTAAAGCATCTGATTTGATTAAAGAAATAAAGTAAAATGGAAAACAGCAGTGTGATATCTGTAAATTTAGCTGTACCTGCTAACCTGGGGTGGGGGGAAGAGCTGCTCTCCAGCCCTCCCAACAAAGAATTGGGAAATTCTAAACCTTTCCAGGAGAAATGCTCTGATTATAGACCATAATGTTAAAGATAGGAGGTATAAATTTCACCACTTGAGGCAAACAGTGCAACTACCTTGAAGATACTTTGTTGGAATAGTAGGTGAAATATAATTAAGGCAGAAGTTGATTTTGCAGGTATGAACTTCTTCTATACAAGTTTGCAGAAATTTCCCGATGGACTTATCAGAATTTGCATTTTCCAAGCAGGAAGCTCTAAGGCAGAAGGAAGGGGGGAGGACTGGGGGTGTATTGGCTTCATAAGAATAAGGGCCAAAATGGAAGCCATTATATGTTAAGTATGAGGCACGATCCTCGCAGTAGATAGGGCTGTTTAAGCAATAGCGAAAATCAGACCTGAAAAAAATCAGGCCTGTACGGGATTCGAACCACTGACCTCTGCGATACTAGTGCAGCGCTCTTACCAATTGAGCTAACAAGCCAACTGGTAGCAGGCCGTTAAGTTCATTCGTAATAAACCCGTGAAAGTGATAAATCAGTACAATGAAATATATGAGGTTCATATATTTTGAACTGCGGTATTAGATACGTATGATGCACGATCCTCGCAGTAGATAGCGATATTTAAGCAATAGCGAAAATCAGACCTGAAAAAAAATCAGGCCTGTATGGGATTCGAACCACTGACCCCTGCGATACTAGTGCAGCGCTCTACCAATTGAGCTAACAAGCCAACTGGGAGCAGGCCGTTAAGTTGATTCGTAATAAACCCGTGAAAGTGATAAAT